TGGGTTCACCCCAAACCCTTGATGCTCCTGCTAAGCATTAAAATATGATAGGTCTGAGATGGTCCTCAGGACCTCCTTTGAGACTCCTGGACAACCTGGCTTAGAGAGTTCAACTCACCCAGGCTCTCTCTGTCTGTCTGTCTGTCTCTCTCTCTCTCTCTCTCTCCCTCCCTCCCTCCCACCTCTTGTCTCCTGGTCCCTGCTGGGGATTCTGCCCAGCTCCATCTGGAGTCTTGGGGGAGAGGATCCAGGGATGGAGCAGCTCTGCTCTTTGCCTCTTCCTTGTTCTCCTCCAACCAGGTCCTCCTGGCAGCATATCCAGTCTTTCCTTTCCCTTTCTTGGACCACTGACCCCTTTGCTTTTATCTTCTCTTGTGAGCATCTCTTCCAGTTGTGCCTCAGATTACCCATTTGCTGGTACACCTCCCTGGTGACATAATGGGCTACAAGAGGGAACAGGAGGAAGAGCCTCAAGAGAAGTGAGGATCAGATGAAAAAAACTGTGTCCAAAGTAGAAATGAAATTTGAGGAAGGGTCTCGGATCTAAGGACTTCTTCCCTTTCAGGAAGATGAAGAGAGGGAGGTGGATTCAGCTTTGCAAGGTTCTATTACTTTAACTTTGTAATAAAAGTAATATAAGTCCTAAATACATGAGCATTTCATTATATTTCATCACTGATGTGCTGAAGACAAATGTAGCTGGGTAACATCCCATAATAACCATGGGGGTGCACTTAGTGCAGCTGGGGTATGTGCAGAACTGCCTTACCCCAATGGGACTAATTGGCCCCTCTCCTTCCAGTGGAAACAGCCTAATTTGGATCCCACTGGCCAAAGAATTTCTGCTGCTGGGCTCCAGGAGAAGAGCCTTTTCTGCTGTGNAGAAAGAAACAGCGGAGAGATCTTTCTACTTTTGGGGGTTGAGGGTCAGAAATATGAAGGAGCCGATTCCTGGGACCTTTGGAGCAAGCGAGAGAAGAGGATCAAACGAAAGGGGAAAAGCCTTTAAAGCGAGGCTGCTGCGGATTCCGACGTTAAGAGGAGGGGAGGCTGAGACCCTCAACCGACACACCTGATGGGGAGGGAATATCTCCGCTTTCTCACCTCCCGCTTCCAGGCCAACTTTCTTCAGGGGGGGCCCTTTGCACTCTGTTCTTTGCTCGCTCTGGGTTTTTCGGAGAAATGCCCCCCCCCCGCCTCCTCTCCCAGGTGGACTGCAGAAACTGCGGAGGGTGGGGGGGATTTGCCTCCCTTCGGGAAGGGCGAGGAGTAGCGCGGCCAACGGAACCGGGGATGGGGAGCCAGGCTTAGAGGGGAGCGGATTCTCTGAGCGCAGCAGCCCTTCGCCCCGCAGAGCCCATAAAACTTTCCCAACGTAAAGGTAGCGGGGGTCTTTATGGGAAATATCCCCCCCCCCAAATTGGTACAAGAACTTTGACCTGCCAGTGAGTCTCCTCCCTCAGGATCCACCCCTGTCTTTGTGGGCCAGTCTCTGGTGGAGGAGAAGGGAAAGCGGCAGCTGGAGACAACCTGGCTGCTGTGTGGGGAGGTGGGATCTCCAGCAGAGGATTGGGGGGCGACCCAGTAAGGAAAAGCAGGGGCTGAACTGCTGTGCCCCCTAACTGGAAGGGCCCTGGCCACTTCTCTTTTTCTCTCTCTCCCCCCCCCTGCCAAAGTGGCTCTTGATAGGCTGCCCCAAAGGTTTGCCTCTCTCGGGGACGTTTCCTCACCCAGGGCTGAGCAGCTCCTGTGAGAGAGGCTGGCATTTTGAGTCTAGGAGACTCCACTTCTGCCACTTCCCCCACAAAGAAACACAGCAAAGCTTTGGAGGAGCTTCCCCAGGTCCTTCTCACTGACAAGTGTGGTTTGCCTGGCACCACAGTCTGGTGGGCCCACAGCAGGCAACACTTGGAGAGTTGGCATAAATTTCTCTACTCAAATCAGAGAGCAGTAGCCCAGCACAGCCCCCATATTTGTATGGGGCAAAGAGGCCACCTGGGTGCCTTCCCTGAGCACAAGGCCTGCAGCTCTTCTGCTCCCCTCCAAAGAGGCCACCTTCTCGGACAACTGGAGGGAGCTGCTTCAAGGGAGGCCCCCAAAGACCCAGGAGTGGACATAATGAACCTTGACTTCAGCAAAACATTTGAGAAATATCAATGAGATCCTGGTGAAGAAGAAGAAGGCAACCTGTGGCTGGCCTACACTTCCATTACATGGATAGACCTTATGGAGAGTTCAAATCCAACAAGGGCTTATTAAAGTCTCCAGATCTGATTGAAAGGAAGTGATGAATTGCAGGGCTTGTGCTGTTTGACATATTTATAATTAATAATAAATAATTTATATTTATAATTATAAATAATTAATAACTTCAGAGGGCAGAATAAAGATTTCAAAGGATCTTTAAAAGCTGGAATAATGGGCAAAAATCAGGATGATTAATTTCAACAGGGATAAATGCAAAGCCCAACATTTGTGTAGAAAGAATAATTAAAGGCATTAATGCAGGATGGCAGGTAGTATAGAAAACCAATTTCCATAATCAACTAAATCAGACAGTGTATCAAAAAATATCAGGTTGATTTGGGGTCACCCCCAAACCCTTGATGCCCCTACTACACTAAAATATGATGGGTCTGAGATGCCCCCAGGAGCTCTTTGAGACTCCTGGACAACCTGGCTTAGGGAGTTCAACTCACCCAGGCTCTCTCTGTCTCTGTCTCTGTCTCTGTCTCTGTCTCTGTCTCTGTGTCTGTCTCTGTCTCTGTCTGTCTGTGTCTGTCTCTGTCTCTGTCTCTGTCTCTCTCTGTCTGTCTCTGTCTCTGTCTCTCTCTCTCTCTCTGCCTCTCTCTCCCTCCCTCCCACCTCTTGTCTCCTGGTCCCTGCAGGTGATTCTGCCCAGCTCCATCTGGAGTCTTGGGAGAGAAGACCCAGGGAAGCAGCAGCTCTGCTCTTTGCCTCTTCCTTGTTCATCTCCAACCATGTCCTCCTGGCAGCAGATCCACTCCTTCCTTTCCCTTCCTTGGACCACTGACCCAGCCACCCCCTTTTCCTTTGCTTTTATCTTCTCTTGTGAGCATCTCTTCCAGTTGTGCCTCAGATTACCCATTTGCTGGTGCACCTCCCTGGTGACAGAATGGGCTACAAGAGGAAATAGGAGGAAGAGCATCAAGAGAAGTGACTATCAGATGAAAAAAAACTGTGTCCAAAGTAGAAATGAAATTTGAGGAAGGGTCTCAGGCCTAATGACTTTCTTCCCTTTCACAAAGATGAAGAGAGGGAGGTGGATTCAGCCTTGCAAGGTCCTGTTATGTAAGTCCTAATGTAAGTCCTAAACACATCAGCATTTCATTATATTTCATCACTTGTTCCTGATGTGCTGAAGACAAATATAGCTGGGTAAAATCCCATAATAAGCCTTGGGGGTGCACTTAGTACAGCTGGGGTATGTGCAGAACTGCCTCAACCCAATGGGACTAGCTGGCCCCTCTCCTTCCAGTGGAAGCAGCCTAATTTGGATCCCATTGGCCAAAGAAATTCTGCTGCTGGGCTCCAGGAGAAGAGCCTTTTGTGCTGTGCCCCCCCCCCAGAATATTCTACCATCAGAGATGAGACACCCCCCCTCAGACACACAAAAACACAATCCTGGCCTTCTGGAAGAGCCTGAAAACCTGGCTTAGCTGCTCAGCTTGGGGTCCTGACAGGGGAGGGTACCCTGGGGGTGTCTCATTTGGTAGACAAGATTCTTACCCCCAGAATGTCCATCACCTGGGTTCTTACTTTCAATCTCATATATTGTAGTTTCATTTCTTTTTAGAATTTTTAAATTTTTATTACAATGTAAGCCAACCAGAGTTGCTGCATTAGTGAGATGGGTGGCATAAAAGTTATTAAAATAAAATAAGCTCTCAATTCTGGGGTTGTTTTTTAACATGGTAAGGTGGAGCTTTTTGGCTCTGGACCTTTAAGCAAAATGCCACGTTACTTTTTCTTGTTCCTCTTTTGGCCCCAATTGCAAAATTCTTGATTGCAAATCCAGTTGTTATAACTGAACCGTTTGTGGCCAACCTCTTTGGCTTCTTCAGGTAAGTGTGGAAATAGTTTCTAGCTAACTGCTGAGCCTGTCTCGGGGCTCCACCTTAGGACCTCCCCCTAAGAAGGCACCTGGGCCTCTCCTGGTAGCCAGCCGGGCAGACTCATTATGAAGGGAAGCCTATTCTTGATTCTAGACTTTTTAAGGGAAAGTTACAGTACTTAGTGCAGAGGAAAGGACATCCTTTGACTGAAGCCACGTGGGTAAAATCTAGTGATGTAAAAGCCCACAGCCTCATTCATAAATTCTATGAGAAACACCCTAACAAACCAAGGGGCGACCCCTAACCTGTGATTTTGTTTGAATTGCAGGATTTGTCCTTTTTGTAAGGGCCCCCCCACCGGATGTCAACGCTGCTAACATTGGATGTTCCCCCTCTGACAACTGATGAAAACGCAGCCATTTTCTCTATTCTTTAATAGGCTTTTTCTTACCTTTAGGAATCAGGTGCATGGGGGGAGGGGGGATGTAAGCTCAGCTAGCCATAATAATAAGGCTGCTGTGGGAACCCAAGGAGAAGCTGATAAGGTTTTGCCGGGCTGAGGAGCTGAGGAGAAAGCCCGGGCTTTAAGCTAATTGGGGAAGGTAACTGAGGAGGAGGAGGAGGAGGAGGAGGAGGAGGAGGAGGAGGAAAGTAAGAATGCCCGTGTTGGGTCAGAGGCGGTGGGGTGCCCGAGAAGAAATGCCCCCCGCCCCTCTTGCTGCCCAAGTGCTGCTCAGCGCTCGCAGCAGGACCAGCGATTTCGCAGAAGCCTCCGCCCCTCGGACGGGGATCCCGCCCCTCCCAGCCGCTGGGGGTGGTGGAGGGAGGCGGCAGCTGAAAGGGGGGGGGGGGAGCGGGTGCGAGCGGGGCTTTATAAGGGGCGTCCCGCCTGGGGCTGGCACGTCTAGATTCCTGGAGACCACCATGGCGATTGGCCTGGCAGCTCTGGGGCTCCTCGCTTTCCTGCTCGGCTGCTCCGGAACCTTTGCCGAACCCCAAAACTCCAAGTCGCGCGTCAAGGTCAGATGCGGGGTGGGAGGCGGAGGGTCTCAGCCTCCCGTGTGGAAAGCCCCCCCCACACACACACACCAGCCTCTGCTCGGGTGGGAGACAGGAGCAGCTGGTGGGAGCCGGCCGGCTGCGCAGAGGGTGCCGCTTCCTCGGGGTTGATCGCACCCGGTGCCGTCGCGCTGAGCGCCAGAGGCCCTGGGTCCCCGACGGCGGACCGGTCAAGCGTTTCCTCCTCCATGCTCGGCCGCCTGCCTCCGGGGCTGGTGCTCTCGCTCTGTGCGGAGATGGCAGAGTGATCCACCCGCGGGGTGTCGTCCCGGACGCGGTCTGGCAGACGCCTCGACCGACGGACTTTGGGATGGGCTGCCTTTCTCAGCCCGACGCGGCGTGGGCATCCCCGGGGGTCGGGCACGTGTGAGCCGCGGGTGTTTTCAGATCCCCCGGAGAGAATGGAGTCAGAGTCTCTACCTGTTGGACTTTCCTCCCCCCTCCCGCTCTTTCCTAGTGCTCCCTCACCGGCAGATGGGAGGATGACCGTGGCTACAGCATGGAGATCGACAGCGTCAGTGACACGGGGCTGTTCAGAGGCACCTTCTATTTCGATACGACACTTATGCCTTACATGTTTTCAAACCCGCTGCTGGGCATCCAGCATCAGGGGCTCCCGCCCATCTTTGGCTTCGCCGTCCTCTATGATAGTGAAATCGTTCAGTTTTTGTTGTGGAATCGAAGACACGTGACAGGACCCAGAGCCGTCTTTGTGGGCCTGTGTCTGGTGGACTGGAAGGGAAAGGAGCAGCTGAGGACAACCTGGCTGCGGCGTGAGCCCCCGGAATCCGAGGGAAAGGATTGGGGGGCGGCCTGGTAAGGAAAACCAGGGGCTGAACTGCTGCACCCCCTAACTGGAAGGGCCCTCTCTTCCACCCCCCAAGTGGCTCTTGAAAGGGCGCCCCAATGCTTTGCCTCTCTCGGGGCAGCTCCTGCGGGAGAGGCTGGCATTGTGAGTCTAGGAGACTCTGTTTCTGCCACTTCCCCCACAAAGAAACACAGCAAAGCTTTTGAGCAGCTTCCCCAGGTCCTTCTCACTGACAAGAGTGGTTTGGGTGGCACCACAGTCTGGGTTGCCCACAGCTGGCAACACTTGGAGGGTTGGCATTAATTGCTCTACTCATACCGGAGAGCAGTAGCCCAACACAGCCCCATATTTGTATGGGGCAAAGAGGCCACCCGGGTGCCTTCCCTGAGCGAGCGCAAGGCCTTTTGCGGCCACCTGGACGGAGCTGCTTGAGGGGAAGCCCACAAAGACCCAGGAGAATTCGCCCAGCTTGCTTTGGGTCTTGTCATTCCCCAGCCCTGGCCGTCTCTGAGAACCAGAAGCCTCCGTTTCCTTTGCCCCCCTTTTCATTCTCACGTGCCTGGGTGGGAGGAGGGAATGGGGTGGGGGATGGGACGCTCAGCCTGGGGGGGGGGAGACATCAATCATGCCACCATGAATTTTGACATTTCCCACCCTCCTGTTTCATTGTAGGGCTGGCTCCAGCATCTTCTACCGCACAGAGTGGTGATGAAGAGAGCAAGGCTTCCCCGTTTCTGCCTTGGGGGGCCTTGGGGGGGTGACCCTTCCTACTTCACCCATCAGACACTCTTCTCCAATAAAATGTTTGCCTGAGCAGTCTCTGCCTCCCTGGTCTTTCAGAAGCTCCCTGGGTGCCAGTCTGCAGGTTTCCAGGAGAGGCTGGGTAGGACCTCCATCTGGAGTATGGGCTCTGGGGTAAAGAGGTAGCTTTGTCTCTACTACTGCTCTACTACTGTTCTGCACTTTACTCAACCTTTGCCCTTGAAGAATTTGGGAACCTGCATCCAATCCACTCAGGATCTGACCTATTAATTTATTAGGAAATTATGAAAGGGTTTTGCAAATGAGCCATGAATTAGCTTCACCCAGAGCTGGTCCATCCTAATCATTTGGCCCAAGCTTTGATTGACAGAGTCATCCTTAGAACCAGCACTTAGCTAGAACCTATTTCAACACTTACCTGAAGAAGCCAAAGAGGTTGACCACAAACGGTTCACTTATAACAACTGGATTTGTAATCAAGAATTTTGCAAGTGGAGCAGTTAGAGGAACAAGAAAAAGTAATGTGGCATCTTTGCTTAAAGGTCCAGAGAGAAAAAAGGTCCACATTAGCATGTCAAAAAAAACCACCCCCAGAAGTGGAGAGCGTATTTTATTTTAATAACTTTTTATGTCACCCATTTCACTACTACAGCAACTCTGGATGGCTTACAATAAAATAAAAGTTAAAAAGTACTAAAAAGAATCGAAACTAGAATAAAAAGATTAAAAGTTAAGAACCAAACTGATGGACTATACCCAATGAGACACCCTCAAGGTACCCTATCTTGTCAAGCCAGGTTTTCGGGGTCTTCCAGAAAGCCAGGATTGTGTGTCTGGGGGGATCTCACCTCTGATGGTAGAATATTCTTGGGGGGGGCACAGCAGAAAAGGCTCTTCTCCTGGAGCCCAGCAGCAGAAATTCTTTGGCCAATGGGATCCAAATTAGGCTGCTTCCACTGGAAGGAGAGGGGCCAGCTAGTCCCATTGGGGTGAGGCAGTTCCTCAGATACCCCAAAGCAGTGATGGCGAACCTTTTAGAGACCGAGTGCCCAAACTGCAACCCAAAACCCACTTATGCATCGTCGGGTGCCGGGTGGGTGTGGCCCATTGGGTGGGTGTGGCTACAGTGGTAACAGCAGACTGGGTGGGATAAAAAGTTCAATCAATCAATTCCAACTTTGCAAGATCTTTTTTTCCCCACGAGAAGTTGAAATTGACTGATTGATTGAACTTTTTTTTGTACACGGCGGCGGAGGCCTAAAGCGAAAAGGTTTTATAAAACCCAGCTGAAGGCCTAGGACTGGGGCGAAGGCGCGTGTGCCCACAGAGAGGGCTCTGAGTGCAACCTCTGGCACCCGTGCCATAGGTTCACCACCACTGCCCGAAAGCTTCACTAAGTGCATCCCCCATGCTTATTATGGGATGTGTCTTCAGCAGATCAGGAACAGGTGATGAAATATCAGGAAATTCTGATATGCTTAGGACTTACCTGACTTTTATTACAAAGTTAAAGTAACAGACCCTTACAAGGCTGAATCCACCTCCCTCTCTTCATCTTACTGAAAGGGAATAAAGTCCTTAGGTCTGAGACCCTTCCTCAAATTTCATTTCTGCCTTGGACACATTTTATTTTTCATCTGATCATCATTTATATTGAGGCTCTTCCTCCTGTTTCCTCTTGTAGCCCATTCTGTCACCAAGGAGGTGCACCAGCAAATGGGTAATCTGAGGCACAACTGGAAGAGATGCTCACAAGAGAAGATAAAAGCAAAGGAAAAGGGGGGGGTTGGCTGGGTCAGTGGTCCAAGGAAGGGAAAGGAAGGAGTGGATCTGCTGCCAGGAGGATCTGGTTGGAGGTGAACAAGGAAGAGGCAAAAAGCAGAGCTGCTCCTTCCCTGGGTCTTCTCCCCCAAGACTCCAGATGGAGCAGGGCAGAATCACCTGCAGGAACCAGGAGACAAGAGAGGGTGGGAGGGAGAAAATAGAGAATGTGGAACTACCTATGACAGATCAGGGGAATAATTTGGAAAAGGATGTCTTACTGGATATGTTATTTATTAAATTCATTCACTGACCATTTCACTGCCAAGTGACTCTGGGTGCTATTCAAAACAACCGGGCTGAAGTTTTAAAAACTAAAAAGAAAATACCAAGGATAAATCAAGAGAATGACCTGGAAAATGTATTTGAATCTACAAAAAGCCTTATTGTCAAAGCCAAACCCAGAGTGCTAAGGAGATGGGGCAGGTGCGGGGAGGGGGGGTTTGACTAAATCCTCAGAGATCCAGAACCAGGCATGTTTAGCGGAAAGAAGAGAAGGCCCAGGGAGGGAGGGAGGGGGAGGGCTGGGTTCCTCCCCTTCCTGCCCTGCTCCCTCTGCCCAGCCTGCCCCAGGAGAACCTGGCCAGAGGGCAGAGGCAAGATGGGGGGTGGGGGGGGGGAACCAGCAGTCTGGTGTTCTTGGTGGCTCCTGGAACAAGGCCCAGGAGAAGTGGCCACTCAAAGATCATTGGAGCCTGCTGGGCATCTTTCTTTGTCGCCTCTCTAGAAAGATGAAAACCCCCAACTCCCAGTCTTTATACTTCCTCGGCTAAGGACCCTGGAAACCTCGTTCGCTCTCTTCTCCTAGTTTGCTTTCCCCTTTTCGGAAATTTCGCTCCGACGACGCCTAAGGCTGCAATTCTCCTCCCCTCCGACTCTGGGAGTTGGCTGTGTGGACTACCCCGGGGGGAAATATCTCCGCTTTCTCACCTCCCGCTTCCAGGCCAACTTTCTTCAGGGGGGGCCCTTTGCACTCTGTTCTTTGCTCGCTCTGGGTTTTTCGGAGAAATGCCCCCCCCCCGCCTCCTCTCCCAGGTGGACTGCAGAAACTGCGGAGGGTGGGGGGGATTTGCCTCCCTTCGGGAAGGGCGAGGAGTAGCGCGGCCAAAGGAACCGGGGATGGGGAGCCAGGCTTAGAGGGGAGCGGATTCTCTGAGCGCAGCAGCCCTTCGCCCCGCAGAGCCCATAAAACTTTCCCAACGTAAAGGTAGCGGGGGTCTTTATGGGAAATATCCCCCCCCCCAAATTGGTACAAGAACTTTGACCTGCCAGTGAGTCTCCTCCCTCAGGATCCACCCCTGTCTTTGTGGGCCAGTCTCTGGTGGAGGAGAAGGGAAAGCGGCAGCTGGAGACAACCTGGCTGCTGTGTGGGGAGGTGGGATCTCCAGCAGAGGATTGGGGGGCGACCCGGTAAGGAAAAGCAGGGGCTGAACTGCTGTGCCCCCTAACTGGAAGGGCCCTGGCCACCTCTTTGTCTCTCTCCCCCCCCCCCTGCCAAAGTGGCTCTTGATAGGCTGCCCCAAAGGTTTGCCTCTCTCGGGGACGTTTCCGCACCCAGGGCTGAGCAGCTCCTGTGAGAGAGGCTGGCATTTTGAGTCTAGGAGACTCCACTTCTGCCACTCCCCCCACAAAGAAACACAGCAAAGCTTTGGAGGAGCTTCCCCAGGTCCTTCTCACTGACAAGTGTGGTTTGCCTGGCACCACAGTCTGGTGGGCCCACAGCAGGCAACACTTGGAGAGTTGGCATTAATTGCTCTACTCGAATTAAAGAGCAGTAGCCCAGCACAGCCCCCATATTTGTATGGGGCAAAGGGGCCACCCGGGTGCCTTCCCTGAGCACAAGGCCTGCAGCTCTTCTGCTCCCCTCCAAAGAGGCCACCTTCTCGGACACCTGGACGGAGCTGCTTCAAGGGAGGCCCTCAAAGACCCAGGAGTGGACATAATGAACCTTGACTTCAGCAAAACATTTGAGAAATATCAATGAGATCCTGGTGAAGAAGAAGAAGGCAACCTGTGGCTGGCCTACACTTCCATTACATGGATAGACCCTGTGGAGAGTTCAAATCCAACAAGGGCTTATTAAAGTCTCCAGATCTGATTGAAAGGAAGTGATGAATTGCAGGGCTTGTGCTGTTTGACATATTTATAATTAATAATAAATAATTTATATTTATAATTATAAATAATTAATAACTTCAGAGGGCAGAATGAAGATTTCAAAGGATCTTTAAAAGCTGGAATAATGGGCAAAAATCAGGATGATTAATTTCAACAGGGATAAATGCAAAGCCCAACATTTGTGTAGAAAGAATAATTAAAGGCATTAATGCAGGATGGCAGGTAGTATAGAAAACCAATTTCCATAATCAACTAAATCAGACAGTGTATCAAAAAATATCAGGTTTATTTGGGGTCACCCCCAAACCCTTGATGCCCCTACTACACTAAAATTTGATGGGTCTGAGATGCCCCCAGGAGCTCTTTGAGACTCCTGGACAACCTGGCTTAGGGAGTTCAACTCACCCAGGCTTTCTCTGTCTCTGTCTCTGTCTCTGTCTGTCTGTCTTTGTCTCTGTCTCTGTCTCTGTCTCTGTCTCTGTCTCTGTCTCTGTCTCTCTCTGTCTGTCTCTGTCTCTGTCTCTCTCTCTGCCTCTCTCTCCCTCCCTCCCACCTCTTGTCTCCTGGTCCCTGCTGGTGATTCTGCCCAGCTCCATCTGGAGTCTTGGGAGAGAAGACCCAGAGAAGCAGCAGCTCTGCTCTTTGCCTCTTCCTTGTTCATCTCCAACCATGTCCTCCTGGCAGCAGATCTAGTCTTTCCTTTCCCTTCCTTGGACCACTGACCCAGCCACCCCCTTTCCTTTGTTTTTATCTTCTCTTCTGAGCATCTCTTCCAGTTGTGCCTCAGATTACCCATGTGCTGGTGCACCTCCCTGGTGACAGAATGGGCTACAAGAGGAAACAGGAGGAAGAGCCTCAAGAGAAGTGACTATCAGATGAAAAAAAACTGTGTCCAAAGTAGAAATGAAATTTGAGGAAGGGTCTCAGGCCTAATGACTTTCTTCCCTTTCACAAAGATGAAGAGAGGGAGGTGGATTCAGCCTTGCAAGGTCCTGTTATTTTAAAATTGTAACAAAAGTAATGTAAGTCCTAAACACATCAGCATTTCATTATATTTCATCACTTGTTCCTGATGTGCTGAAGACAAATGCAGCTGGTTAACATCCCATAATAAGCATTGGGGGTGCACTTAATGCAGCTGGGGTGTGTGCAGAACTGCCTAACCCCAATGGGACTAGCTGGCCCCTCTCCTTCCAGTGGAAGCAGCCTAATTTGGATCCCATTGGCCAAAAAAATTCTGCTGCTGGGCTCCAGGAGAAGAGCCTTTTGTGCTGTGGGCCCCCCCAGAATATTCAACCATCAGAGATGAGACACCCCCCCTCAGACACACAAAAACACAATCCTGGCCTTCTGGAAGAGCCTGAAAACCTGGCTTAGCTGCTCAGCTTGGGGTCCTGACAGGGTAGGGTACCCTGGGGGTGTCTCATTTGGTAGACAAGATTCTTACCCCCAGAATGTCCATCACCTGGGTTCTTACTTTCAATCTCATATATTGTAGTTTCATTTCTTTTTAGAATTTTTAAATTTTTATTACAATGTAAGCCAACCAGAGTTGCTGCATTAGTGAGATGGGTGGCATAAAAGTTATTAAAATAAAATAAGCTCTCAATTCTGGGGTTGTTTTTTAACATGGTAAGGTGGAGCTTTTTGGCTCTGGACCTTTAAGCAAAATGCCACTTTACTTTTTCTTGTTCCTCTAATGGTCCCACTTGCAAAATTCTTCATTGCAAATCCAGTTGTTATAACTGAACCGTTTGTGGCCAACCTCTTTGGCTTATTCAGGTAAGTGTGGAAATAGTTTCCAGCTAACTGCTGAGCCTGTCTCGGGGCTCCACCTTAGGACCTCCCCCTAAGAAGGCACCTGGGCCTCTCATGGTAGCCAGCTGGACAGACTCATTATGAAGGGAAGCCTATTCTTGATTCTAGACTTTTTAAGGGAAAGTTACAGTACTTAGTGCAGAGGAAAGGACACCCTTTGACTGAAGCCACTTGGGTAAAATCTAGTGATGTAAAAGCCGACAGGCTCATTCATAAATTCTATGAGAAACACCCTAACAAACCAAGGGGCGACCCCTAACCTATCATTTTGTTTGAATTGCAGGATTTGTCCTTTTTGTAAGGGCCCCCCCACCGGATGTCAACGCTGCTAACATTGGATGTTCCCCCTCTGACAACTGATGACAACGCAGCCATTTTCTGTATTCTTTAATAGGCTTTTTCTTACCTTTAGGAATCAGGTGCATGGGGGGAGGGGGGATGTAAGCTCAGCTAGCCATAATAAAAAGGCTGCTGTGGGAACCCAAGGAGAAGCTGGTAAGGTTTTGCCAGGCTGAGGAGCTGAGGAGAAAGCCCGGGCTTTAAGCTAATTGGGGAAGGTAACTGAGGAGGAGGAGGAGGAGGAGGAGGAGGAGGAGGAGGAGGATTGTAAGAATGCCCGTGTTGGGTGGGGTGCCCGAGAAGAAATGCCCCCCCCGCCCCTCTTGCTGCCCAAGTGCTGCTCAGCGCTCGCTGCGGGACCAGCGATTTCGCAGAAGCCTCCGCCCCTCGGACGGGGATCCTGCCCCTCCCAGCCGCTGGGGGTGGTGGAGGGAGGCGGCAGCTGAAAGGGGGGGGAGCGGGTGCGAGAGGGGCTTTATAAGGGGCGTCCCGCCTGGGGCTGGCACGTCTAGATTCCTGGAGACCACCATGGCGATTGGCCTGGCAGCTCTGGGGCTCCTCGCTTTCCTGCTCGGCTGCTCGGGAACCTTTGCCGAACCCCAAAACTCGGAGTCAGCTGCCAAGGTCAGATGCGGGGTGGGAGGCGGAGGGTCTCAGCCTCCCGTGTGGAAAGCCCTCCCACACACACACACACCAGCCTCTGCTCGGGTGGGCGGCAGGAGCAGCTGGTGGGAGCCGGCGGGCTGCGCAGAGGGGGCCGCTTCCTCGGGGTTGATCGCACCCGGTGCCGTCGCGCTGAGTGCCAGAGGCCCTGGGTCCCCGACGGCGGACCGGTCAAGCGTTTCCTCCTCCGTGCTCGGCCGCGGCTTCGGCAGCCTCCCGCCGGGGCTGGTGCTCTCAATCGCTGCGGAGATGGCAGAGCGATCCGCCCGCAGGGCGTCGTCCCGGACGCGGTCTTGCAGGCGCCTCGACCGACGGACTTTGGGATGCGCCCCCTTTGCCAGCCCCACCCGGCGTGGGCATCCCCGGGGGTCGGGCACGTGTGAGCAGCGGGTATTTTCAGATCCCCCGGAGAAAATGGAGTGAGAGTCTCTACCTGTTGGACATCTGGGCTTGGCTATCACCCTGACAGGCTTTCCTCCCCCCTCTCGCTCTTTTTTAGTGCTCCCTGACCGGCAGATGGAGTGATGAAGGTGGCTACAGCATGAAGATCCACAGCGTCAGTGACACGGGGGTGTTCAGAGGCTTCTTCTATTTCGATACACATATGCCTTACATCTTTTCACACCCGCTGCTGGGCATCCAGCATCAGGGGTTCCTGCCTACCTTTAGCTTCACCGTCCTGTACAATAGTGAAATCTCTCAGTTTTGGTTGTGGAATGGAAGATACCTGACAGGACCCATAGCCGTCTTTGTGGGCCATTGTCGGGTGGACTACGACGGAAAGGAGCAGCTGAGGACAACCTGGCTGCGGCGTGAGCCCCCTGAATCCAAGGGAAAGGATTGGGGGGCGGCCTGGTAAGGAAAACCAGGGGCTGAACTGCTGCGACCCCTAACTGGAAGGGCCCTGGGCACCTCTTCTTTTTCTCTCTCTTCCACCCCCCAAAGTGGCTCTTGAAAGGGCGCCCCAATGGTTGGCCTCTCTCTGGGCAGCTCCTGCAGGAGAGGCTGGCATTGTGACTCTAGGAGACTCCGTTTCTGCCCCTTCCCCCACAAAGAAAGGCAGCAAAGCTTTTGAGCAGCTTCCCCAGGTCCTTCTCACTGACAAGTGTGGTTTGGGTGGCACCACAGGCTGGGTTGCCCACACTTGGAGAGTTGGCATTTATTGCTCTACTCGAATCGGAGAGCAGTAGCCCAACACAGCCCCATATTGGTAGGGGGCAAAGAGGCCACCTGGGTGCCTTCCCTGAGGGAGCGCAAGGCCTGCAGCTCTGCTGCTCCCCTCCAAAGAGGCCCCTTTTGCAGCCACCTGGACGGAGCTGCTTGATGGGAAGCCCCCAAAGACCTAGGAGAATTCGCCCAGCCTGCTTTGGGTCTTGTCATTCCCCGGCCCTGGCCGCCTCTGAGAACCAGAAGTGTCCATTTCCTTTGCCCTCCCTTTTCATTCTCACGTGCCTGGGTGGGAGGAGGGAATGGGGTGGGGGATGGGATGCTCAGCCTGGGGGGGGGGAGACATCAATCATGCCACCATGAATTTTGACATTTCCCACCCTCCTGTTTCACTGTAGGGTTGGCTCCAGCACCTTCTACCGCAGAGAGTGGTGATGAAGAGAGCAAGGCTTCCCCGTTTCTGCCTTGGGGGGCCATGGGGGGGTGACCCTTCCTGCCTCTCCCATCAGACGCTCTTCTCCAATAAAATGTTTGCCTGAGCAGCCTCGGTCTCCCTGGTCTTTCAGAAGCTCCCTGGGTTCCAGTCTGCAGGTTTCCAGGAGAGGCTGGGTAGGACCCCCATCTGGAGTATGGGCTCTGGGGAAAAGAGTTAGCTTTGTCTCTACTACTGCTCTACTACTGTTCTGCACTTTACTCAACCTTTGCCCTTGAAGACTTTGGGAACCTGCAGCCAATCCATTCAGGATCTGGCCTATTAATTTATTAGGAAATTATGAACGGGTTTTGCAAAGGAGCCATGAATTAGCTTCACCAGAGATGGTCCATCCTAATCACTTGGCCCAAGCTTTGCTTGACAGTCATCCTTAGAACCAGCACTTAGCTAGAAACTATTACGACACTTACCTGAAGAAGCCAAAGAGGTTGGCCACAAAGTCCAAACCCAGAGTGCCAAGGGGATGAGGAGGGGGGTGGCTTAGCTAAATCCTGAGAGATCCAGAACCAGGCATGTTTAGCGGAAAGAAGAGAAGTCCAAGAGAGGGAAGGAGATGGCTCCTGTGAGAGAGGCTGGCATTTGGAGTCTAGGAGACTCCACTTCTGCCACTTCCCCCACAAAGAAACACAGCAAAGCTTTGGAGGAGGTTCCCCAGGTCCTTCTCACTGACAAGTGTGGTTTGCCTGGCACCACAGTCTGGTGGGCCCACAGCAGGCAACACTTGGAGAGTTGGTATTAATTGCGCTACTCAAATTAAAGAGCAGTAGCCCAGCACAGCCCCCATATTTGTATGGGGCAAAGAGGCCACCCGGGTGCCTTCCATGAGCACAAGGCCTGCAGCTCTTTGCTCTCCTCCAAAGAGGCCTCCTTCTCGGACACCTGGATGGAGCTGCTTCAAGGGAGGCCCCCAAAGACCCAGGAGACTTCGCCCAGCCTGCTCTGGGTCAGTGTCCTTCCCCTCATCAGAGGTGGCCTGCAATGCATGGCTGGTTACTTACCTGGCCCTGACCACCCCTGAGAATCACCAGCATCCATTTCCTTTACCCCCCCCCTTTCATTGTCACATGGAATGGGATGGAGGGTGGGATGCTCTGGCCTGGGGGGGGGGGTACACAGCAATCACACCACCATGAATTTTGACATTTCCCTCCCTCCTGCTTCATTGTAGAGTTCGCATGGACACCTTCTAATGCACTGAGTAAAGCTGAAGAGAGCAAGGCTTCCCTGGTTTCTTCCTGGGGGGGGGGCATGGAGGGCGACCCTTCCTACCTCCCCCATCAGAAGCTCTTCTGCAGTAAAATGTTTGCCTGAGCAGCCTCAGCTTCCCTGGTCTTTCAAGAGAGGCTGGGTAGGATCCCCACCTGGAGGGGGGCTCAAAGCTAACTCTGGGGTACAGAGTCTCTACTTGTCTCTCCTACTGCTCTGCACTTTACACAGCCTTTGGCCTTGGAGACTTTGGGAACCTGCAGCTAATTCACTGAGGATCTGACCAATTATTTTATTAGGAAGTCCTCAAAGGGTTTTTGCAAAGGAGCCATGAATTAGCTTCACCCAGAGCTGGTCCATCCTAATCACTTGGCCCAAGCTTTGCTGGATAGAGTCATTGTTAGAACCAGCAGTTAGCTGGAACCTATTTCGACACTTACCTGAAGAAGCCAAAGAGGTTGACCACAAACGGTTCACTTATAACAACTGGATTTGCAATCAAGAATTTTGCAAGTGGAGCAGTTAGAGGAACAAGAAAAAGTAACGTGGCATTTTTTCTTAAAGGTCCAGAGAGAAAAAGCTCCACCTTAGCATGTCAAAAGATACCCCCTGGATTGAGAGCTCATTTAATTTTAACAACTTTTTATGTCACCCATTTTACTGATACAGCAACTCTGGATGACTTACAATGAAATAAAAGTCAAAAGGCAAAAAAGAATCGAAACTAGAATAAAGAGATTAAAAGTTAAGATGATGGACAACTTGGGGGTAAGAATTTTCTCTACCCAATGAGACACCTTCAAGGTACCCTATCCTGTCAGCCCTTCAGGCTGAGCGGCTGAACCAGGTTTTCAGGCTCTTCCAGAAGGCCAGGATTGTGTTTATGTGTTTTTGTGTGTGTGTGTGTGGGGGGGGAAATCTCACCTCTGATGGTAGAATATTCTGGGGGGGGGGGCAGAGCAGAAAAGGCTCTTCTCCTGGAGCCCAGCAGCAGAAATTCTTTGGCCAGTGGGATCCAAATTAGGCTGCTTCCACTGGAAGGAGAGGGGCCAATTAGTCCCATTGGGGTGAGGCAGTTCTGCAAATACCCCAGAACATCACTGAGTGCACCCCCAATGCTTGTTATGGGATGTTACCCATCTGCATGTGTCTTCAGCAGATCAGGATGAAATACCAGGAAATTCTTACATTACTTTTATTACAAAGTAACAGGGCCTTGCAAGGCTGAATCCACCTCCCTCTCTTCATCTTCCTGAAAGGGAAGAAAGTCCTTAGGTCTGAGACCCTTCCTCAAATTTCATTTAATTTTTCATCTGATCCTCATAATCCACTAAATCAGACAGTGTGTCAAAAAATATCAGATTGATTTGGGTTCACCCCAAACCCTTGATGCTCCTGCTAAGCACTAAAATATAATAGGTCTGAGATGGTCCTCAGGACCTCCTTTGAGACTCCTGGACAACCTGGCTTAGAGAGTTCAACTCACCCTGTGGGAATAATGCCCTTGCAGTCCATGTGTAGGCTGCCATGCAGCTGTACCACGTGGATGGAAGAAGGATGAAGAAGCAGGAAGAAGGAACAAAGAACATTCACCCCCTCTTGCAAACTCCCCCCACTCCCCCCATTTACAAGGCTTGTAAAGTGTGCTTACTGTCACGTACCTATATGTTAATATGTACCTGCCCCCTTCTTACCTTCTGTAACCACCCATTTTATCCCAAATACAATAAAAGGGGTCTTTGGAGTCAGCTCTGGATGACTCATCCCAGACATGCTCTAGGCTCTCATCAGGAGAAGTCCTTGTGTCGTGTCGTTCATTTGCGGCCTTCATGAGAAGCCCACCAGACATTAGCAACTGGTGACCGATGTGATTGTCCCAAAGATGATACGTCCTTGGACCTCTCATTCTCATTGCCGTGAAGAGGCTTGTGCACACAATATTGTCTGAAACAAGACAAATATCCACTCGTGAGTATGGGAGGAGGGTTTTCTAAATCACAAGCAGTGGACTTGCAAGAACTTAGAGAACTAACCAAGTCCTCAATTATTATATTAAAAAACAATGGAAAATTACTCCCTATTTTGGCAAAATATGACCTTGTTGAATTATTATCCTATATTTGGAAACAATGCCCGGCATATCCGGAAAAGGGCTCGCTCAAAGTGACTACGTGGAAAAAATTGGGTACCTATTTCCATGAGAGTCCAAGAGCCCCTGCAAAAATTCTATCCACATGGCGCGTAGTCCTTGAATGCCTCATTTTACACGAGAAAGGACTCACAGACGCCACTTTGCCACCTGGAGAGTTGTCAGAACCTCCGCCTTATCAAAAAATGACTCAAAAAGATCCACCAGAGGCCTTTCCTGTCGGCTCTCTTTGTTCTTCGGCTATCCCACATCAGTCTGCTTCAGCTCCTCCTAGCCCTCCTACTGTGACTCCCCCCCCTTTCCCCCCTTTATTCTTTTGCTTCTTCTCAGACCTCATACACCCCCACACAGAAAATATTAGAGAAACTATCTTGAAGTAGAAAAAATAATAAGGGGAATCTTCAGAGTAATTTAAAGACATAAATTAACTCAAAATGCACTCCTCTGCAATGCGTTTTGAACAATTGGAATGTTTTGAAACTTCATGTAGCTGTTAAGTTTACCCCTGTCAGACAATGTCTTTGTGTTGAAGTGTAATGTGTTTTGTGTATATGTATACATGTGTGTGTGTGTGTGTGTGTGTGTGTGTGTGTGTGGCCACCCAGAACATTATGCTTGGGCTTGGAATGGTGAGAAAAATAGGAGATGATAAAGGGCCCTATATAAAAACCACATGAGACAGAGACAGAGACAGAGACAGAGAAAGAGAGACAGAGAGACAGAGACAGAGACAGATTGAGACAGATTGAGACAGAGACAGAGAGACAGAGACAGAGACAGAGACACAGACACAGACACAGACAGAGGGAGATAGACAGAGACAGACAGAGAGAGACAGAGATGGAGACAGAGACAGAGAGAGCAGGGATGAGTTGAAGTCTCCAAGGCAGGATGTCAGGAGTCTCAAAGGAGCTCATGGGGCCATCTCAGACCATCATATTTTAGTGCTTAGCAGAAACATCAAGGGTTTGAGGTGACCCCAAATCAACCTGATATTTTTTGACACTGTCTGATTTAGTTGATTATGGGAATGCAGTGGACATTATGTAATTTGACTTCAGCAAAACATTTGACAAATATCAGTGAAATCCTGCTGAAGAAGAAGAAGGCAACCTGTGGCTGGACTACACTACCATGACAGACAGAGCTGGTGGAGAGATCAAACCCAACAAGGGCTTATTAAAGGCTCCAGATCTGATTGAGAGGAAGTGAGGAATTGCAGGGCTCAATTTTAGGCCTTGTGCTGTTTGACATATTTATTTATAATCAAGTTAGTTTAGGAGTTAGAAAACATTGTAATCAGTTTTGGACATGATACGAAATGGGGGTTGTAAAATACTTCAGACATGCTAAGGTGGAGCTTTTTGCCTCTGGACCTTTAAGCAAAAATGCCACATTACTTTGTCTTGTTCCTCTAATGGCCCCGCTTGCAAAATTCTTGATTGCAAATCCAATTTTTATAACTGAACCGTTTGTGGCCAACCTCTTTGGCTTCTTCAGGTAAGTGTCGAAATAGATTCTAGCTAACTGCTGGTTCTAAGGAAGACTCTATCAAGCAAAACGTAGGCCGAGTCTCATGGTTCTGAT